CACACAGCACTGGCACACGGCATGCTAACACACAGCACTGACACACGGCATGCTAACACACAGCACTGACACACGGCGTGCTAACACACAGCACTGACACACGGCATGCTAACGCACAGCACTGACACACGGCATGCTAACACACAGCACTGACACACGGCATGCTAACACAGCACTGACACACGGCATGCTAACACACAGCACTGGAGGAGGAGGAGGGGCGAGCGTTCTCACCCTCCGCCTCGGCCGTGTCCCTGCGCTTGCCCAGGTCGCAGCTGATGTGCGAGAAGGTGAAAAGCAGGTGATGCTTGCCGTGCAGGTGAACCGCAGCTCCAGCTTCACCTGGGCACAGGGAGACGACGCCCGGCGCACCGCGGGTGAAGTTAGCGAGCGACTATTTTACGTCAGGACGCATCGTGAGAGCAGCTGACAGAGGAGACATTGAGCAGCATAGTGGAGGTCGAAAGAAGGCAAAATAGCAGCCAGCCCCCCCCGCCACCCCCCCCCCGCCACCCTCCTCCCGCCACCCCCCCCCCGCACCCCCCCCCACCCCCCCCGCTCCCCCCCCCCGCCACCCTCCCCCGCCACCCGCCCCCCCGCCACCCCCCCCTGGCCGACGGCTGTGTAACAAGCGTGACGGCACTGACCTCGTCACAGAAGTCGGGGCACTGCTGGTGGTGCAGGACGGCCGTGTTGGCGCTGCTGATGAACGCCGGCTGCCCTGCCTTGCCGTAGATGCACTGCGCCGCAAACACAGACGCCACGGTGGCCAGGAGATGTTAACTCCCTCGCCTGGTACGCAGGAGGTCGTGGGTTCGATCCCGACCCTGACGCCTGCTGCTGTATATTTGAAGTTTGCGGTGTCTCTCTCTCTCCCCGCGGTCGCGTGGATTTATCTCCGGGTCCCTCCGGTTTTTCTCTCCACATTTAGAATCAACACCACTCGTTTAAGAGTGTTTTGCTGCTGTTCTCTCGGGTTTGGGGTTGCGTCGCGCTGCCCGCGGTCACCACCGCTGTGCGTGAATGCGGTGACGCCACCCGGGTCGCGAGTGATGGGGGTGGGCGGTGGGAGGGTGTGGGGGGGACGATCGCACCTTGAGCGGCAGTGTCCCTTCTTCGTCCGAGTCCCGGAACTCCACGTGAATGGCGATGTTCCTCGCCTGCACGTCGCACCGTCACGGGGTTAGACAGCGGCAGAGCGACAATCCCGCGAGCACCAGAAGTCGCAATCGGGTACCCGATACCCGTACCCTACCCGATACCCGGCTACCCGTACCCCCGGGTATCGAGTAGGGTACAGGTAAACCGTACGCGGCAGGGTACGGGTACGGGTACCCGTTTGCGACCCTGGTGCGGCCGGGTACGGGTACGGGTAAGGAATCAAAACCCGTTTGCGACCTCTGGCAAGCACCCCTCCTTCCCCCATCCCATGAGCCCCCCCCCTGGCTTCCCGTGAGCCTGCCCCCTCCCATCCCGTGAGCGCCATCAAGAGGGGCGAGGTAGGAGAGTGTGTGCAGTGGAGTTAGAGCGAGATGAGAGAGGAGGGGAGAGGTAGCAGAGTGGAGCTCGTGGATGATCTTGAAAGAGGGCGAGCGAGATCTTGACATTGCAGGCGGCGCGGGCTGCCTAACGCGCGGAGGAGGAGGTGCCTGGGGTTCCGTGCGGCGACGCAGCCTCCGCAGGCCCGCTCCGGACGAGTCGGCGGGGACTCACCTTGGGAAAGATCTTCTGCGCGTCGTACTTGAGTCGCTGCGGGTACACGTAGAGACGGTTGGCGTACTCCGAGTAGGGGTGAGCGTGCCGCGCTGTCTCCGCCGGGAAGTCGTCCACCTCCCGCACGCACGGCCGCTTCCCGATGCCGCCGTTGCTGCCGCTGTTGTTGCCGGTCTCCGGGAGACGCCACCCGGCCATGACGGGCGACAACCCTGGTGTCAGCATGTCTGAGGAACCAGACATCGGGCCGTGGCATCGTTGTTGTTGTTGTCGTCGTCATCTACATCATCGTGATCTAAACTAAAACTCAACTGTTTTATTTTACTAACTAAGGCCCACTGAGCTCTTTTTCAAAAGCGACCTGACCACAAATTATAGCTCAATGAAGTGGCTTATCGCGTGGACATTTACAGCAGACAAATACTCTGAATGCACATTGATTCTAAATGTGGAGGGTAAAAACCGGAGGACCCGGAGAAAACCCCTCGCGGCCACGGGGACAGAAACGCAAACTCCAAATATACAGCAGCAGGCGTTTGGGTCGAGATCGAACCCACGACCTCCTGCACACCAGGCGAGAGAGTTAACATCTCTCAGCCACCGTAATGATGATAAGAGAGAGAGACACACAAACTCCAAATATACAGCAGCAGGCGTTTGGGTCGAGATCGAACCCACGACCTCCTGTACACCAGGCGACAGCGTTAACATCTTGCCACCGACTATCCGTACAAACTCGGCATCTGCGGCTGGTGGTGTATATTCGGATTGTCCACGTTGCTGCTGCTCCACGTTTCTGGAACACCGTCACCCGCTCACCTCCACTCACCCTCTTCATTATCACTTTATCCAAAACACAGCGCCTACTTGCACCTGTACCTAAACGTCTTCCAGCGCCCCTTGCTCCCAGATGTCTGCGCTGTCTTTCACTGTTAGACTAGGGGGGTGTGGGGGCGGTAGTGCAGTAGCGGTTAGCGTGCCGCTGCGCTACGAACCCGGCCATCCGCGTTCGATTCCCGCCCACGACCAACATTGGTGACAAATATCTGAACCGGTTCTGGGCCTCCCCGAGGTCGACTCAGCCTCAAATAAGTACGTGGTGCGGTGTGTATACATCGCCACTAGGGAGATGTACGGTGCGAAATAATTCAACATGCATAGCATGGTTGACTACGTACGGTGCGAAAGAAGTTCAACATAGCACGGGTGGCTATGTACGATGTGAAAGAAATTCAACACACATAGTACGGTTGGCTACGTACGGTGCGAAAGGGGTTCAACATAAATTTTGATTTAAAGATTTCGTGACTGCAGGGATTCATCTTCTTGGTTCTTTCGGTAAAGTCACGTAGAAGGGAAATAATAGACGTTTCGGCCACAACGCAAGCAGCCGTCCTCAGGTGAAGAACAGGTCTGTCGGAAACGTCTATTATTTCCCTTCTACGTGACTTTACCGAAATAACCAAGAAGAGGTTCAACATACGTACGTACGTCTCCCGTTTAAAAATATCCGGGAAACTGGCAAATCGGGACCCTCCGTGTAACGAAACCAAATAAAACTTAAACAAGTGTGATATGAATGCATTTGAACGCAGGTCTTACTGGGCTGTTCTGCCGGCAGAGTCTCCACAGTAATTTTGATGCTGCCTGGAATCGTTTGAAGTTTCGACATTTTTTCTGACCTGCAGACAACACACGCAGAGCAACGACAAAGATCCCCCGTATAGCTTTAACAGACTGTTGGGGCAAGTGCTGTTAGCGAGTACCGATGAAGGCCGGCACGACACACGAGGGGGGTGGATGGCCAGCACCACGCCCGGCCGCCTTTGTCTCCCTAGTGCCGATGTTTACACATCGCACCAAGTACTCATTTGAGGCTGAGTCGACCTAGGCGAGGCCCAGGACCGGTTCAGATAATCGTCACTGGTGTTGGCAGTGAGCGGGAATCGAACTCGGGTCGCCGGGTTCGTAGCGCAGCGCGCTAACTCTCTCGGCACATTCACGTGTGCGCACATACGTACTTAGACGCAACACCGATATGCAATCACATCACAAACATGACATAAGCCGAGGACGCTAAAGTGTGCACAACAACACAAACAGTCGCCCCTCACCCCCTACATCACAGCAGCACCTGTGCCAGGCTAGGTGCACTTCGAGGCCACGTGGAGTGTCAAAAGCTCGCTGCTGGTAGGAGGGGGTCCTGGGACAAGCCCTGGTGCCATGATGTAGACTGACTAAGATGACGGGCGGATGCACTACCCGTGCTGCCCACTGTGCCACCCCCCGCATGTATTCATCATCCACCCACGCTCCGCTCTTTATTGCGAGCGTCGCTCCTTCACCCGTTTGTGAGAGACGGACGGAGCCAAGGCATCCGCGCTTTTCACCTTCGTTGGAAAACAACAGGGAATTCCCTTTTCGCGATTTTGGGGGGAAACATTCTATACCTATTTTTTTACTAAACTGTTTTTTTTATTTACCAGGTACGGCCCCACTGAGCTATGCAGCTCTTTTTTAAATCCTTTATATTAAGTTAACTTGCTTGCTTGCTTGCGCGCTTACGACTGTGCAAATCTTTCGGTCGTTTTTTAACCCACTTCCCGTGATCCAATCGAGCTGACATTTTGCACACAGACTCGTTGTGCGTGACAATTTATTTTCTTGAAAAAAAAATTCAAAAATTTTACACTTTTTAGGAATTTTTTTTTATTTAATTACCATTTGCTTAATGGTGGCAGGCAATTATCTGACCCATAGGTGGCAGCCATCTCAAGCCAGAGGACGAGAGGACTCTAGCCGCCACGCATATAAAGGATTTATAGTGAAAAACTTTGTTTTTACGGGTTAATTTTTAGAAGTGACATGGCCACAAATTATAGCCCAACGAAGTTGCTTGTGATGGGGACATTTATAGCAGCCAAATACTCTGAACGCATGTAGGAAAAATTGTAGGGACCCAGAGAAAAATCCACAGGACCACGGCGAAAGAGACACGCAAACTCCAAATATCCAACAGGCATCAGGGTCGGGATCGAACCCACGTGGAGACTCAGACTCACGTGGAGACTCATAGACTCACGTGGAGACTCATAGACTCACGTGGAGACTCATAGACTCACGTGGAGACTGGTAGACTCACATAGAGACTCATAGACTCACGTAGAGACTCAGAGACTCACGTGGAGACTCATAGACTCACGTGGAGACCCATAGACTCACGTGGAGACTCATAGACTCACGTAGAGACTCATAGACTCACGTGGAGACTCAAAGACTCACGCGAAGACTCGTAGACTCACGTGGAGACTCATAGACTCACGTGGAGACTCATAGACTCACGTGGAGACTGGTAGACTCACATAGAGACTCATAGACTCACGTGGAGACTCATAGACTAGCGTAGAGACCCATAGACTCGCACAAATACCCAACGGTCAACTAAGCAGTCGGCAGCTCTGTGCCGGTGAGCGTCGCCCCGCCGCGCGCCCCCGCGGCGCGTACTTGTGCACGTCGACGAGCGCACGGAGCCAGTCGTCGCTCGACGTCCTGCCTGCGTCCTGGCGGAAGAGCGGGGAAAGGAGGCGCCCTTGTCCAGCGCCCCGTTGACGTCGCGGAAGAGAGGCCTGCGGCGCGCGCGGGTGGCAGGAGGGGGGGACGTGGTTCTTGGGTGCCCGCGAGCGTGCCCGGCACAGTGACGCGAGGGTGCGACGACGACGGTGATGTGTGCGTGTCGAACTTTTTTCGCCGTGCGTAGCCAAGCGTGCTAGTCGGAGGTGCGGAAGAAGGACAACAAACGATAATTAAAAAAACGCTCTAAAGAAATTAGTTTTCAATACAGATTAATTTAAACGTGCATAGCTCCCAATGGTTCTCCTAATATCAGGGGGAAGAGCATTCCAGACGGCCGCAGAAGCGCACCTGAAAGCGTGCAATGCGGTGACCGTCTTGATGATGACAATTATGACGATAATTGTTTTTTTTTACCCTTCTATCTGGCACAACAAACCTGACACCTTTTTTTACGAGGAGTCATGTTTGCCATAGACCACAATACCTGCAGTCATAATGCAAACAAAAAACATAACTCTGATAATGATATGCACTGTCCTTGAAGTTGATTGGTCCACACCCGAGACAGCTTTCCTTAGAGCCTAGTCTCCCATTCCTTAGAGCCTAGGCCAGGGGTCGGCAACCTACGGCTCCGGAGCCGCATGCGGCTCTTTACGGGCTGCTTCTTGACGATATGTACGTATGTACAGTATGTACTCAGATGCATTGCGGCTCTTGAAATACTGAATTTTGTACCGAATGGAAAGAAATGGCTCTTCTTGTTATTTTGGTTGCCGACCCCTGGCCTAGTCTCACAATTATGACGACGATGATGACGATGGCGGTTATGACGATGGTACGAGTGCGTGTGCTCGTGAGCGCACCTGAAAGCGTGTGATGCGTGACCGTCTTGATGATGACAATTATGACGATGATGATGACGATGGCGGTTATGACGATGGTACGAGTGCGTGTGCGTGTGAGCGCACCTGAAAGCGTGTGATGCGGTGACCGTCTTGATGATGACAATTATGACGATGATGATGACGATGGCGGTTATGACGATGGTACGAGTGCGTGTGCTCGTGAGCGCACCTGAAAGCGTGTGATGCGGTGACCGTCTTGATGATGACAATTATGACGACGATGATGACGATGGCGGTTATGACGATGGTACGAGTGCGTGTGCTCGTGAGCGCACCTGAAAGCGTGTGATGCGGTGACCGTCTTGATGATGACAATTATGACGATGATGACGATGACGGTTATGAGGATGGTACGAGTGCGTGTGCGTGTGAGCGCACCTGAACGCCCAGCTGAACGGCATGTGATACTGGCCCATACGGCCACAGTACTGCCGCATTTGCTTCACCAACTTCTGGCAACCTGGACGGGCAGGGAGTGGGGGTGAGAGGGAGAGGATGGTGCAACGATTGTTTATGTTACCAGCTAAGGCCCCACTGAGCCATGTAGCTCTTTTTCAGAAGTAACCTGGCCCCATATAGCAAACTCACACAGCACGCACACAGCACACACACACAGCACGCACACAGCTCACACACAGCACACACACACAGCACACACACACAGCAAACACACACAGCACGCACAGCACACACACACAGCTCACACAGCTTACACAGCTCACACACACAGCACACACAGCTCACACACACAGCACACACAGCAAACACACACAGCACACACACAGCTCACACAGCATACACACAGCACACACAGCTCACACAGCACACACAACACACACAACACACCAACCACACCACACAGCACACACAGCACACACAGCACACACAGCACACACAGCACACACAAACACAGCACACACACACTTGCCGTCCAGAATTCGCCCGGTTTGGTTGACCTCACAGTGCGAGCGAAAACGCGTGCGGTTGTCCGACGACGACGCGCCAGTATCGGTCGAACGGCAAAATAAAAAAAAGTGTTTGAGAGATGGCGCAGCGTGCCCGGCAGGGTCTGGGTGGGGAGCGGTGGGGGGGGGGTCACCACCTTGCCCGTGTCGTCGGCACGGAGGTAAGGCTCGGTGCACTGCGCCAACGCTGCCCTGCAGCACCTTCTCCACGCGCACGAGCAGCAGCACGTCCGGGTGTGGGTCGCACACCGTGAACACGGCCTGCAGCGCACGCACACACATGCGCACAACATTACACACACACACACACGTTACACACACGCGCACGTCACACACACACACGTTACACACCACACGTTACACACACGTTACACACACAGACCTTACACACACAGACGTTACACACACACACGTTACATACACACACGTACATACACACACGTTACACACACACACGTTACACACACACACGTCACACACACGCGCGTTACACAAACACACGTTACATACACACGCACGTTACCACACACTCTACACACACACACGTTACACACGCGCACATTACACACACACACGTTACACACACACACACGTCACACACACGCGCGTTACACAAACACACGTTACATACACACGCACGTTACACACACTCTACACACACACACGTTACACACACTCTACACACACACACGTTACACACGCGCACATTACACACACACACGTTACAACACACACACACGTTACACACACACGCGTTACACAAACACACGTTACATACACACGCACGGTCACACACACTACACATACACACGTTACACACACACACATCACACTCACACATTTCACACACATTACACACATATTGCACTCACACATTACACACACACGTTACACACACACATATTACACACACAGACATATACAAAGACAAATATCCCCCGTATAGGCTTAGCAGACCGTTGGGGCAAGTATTGTTAGTGAGAACCTATGAAGGCTTTGCACGGGACACGAAGGGGCGGGTGGGTGGCCAGCACCACGCACAAACCGCCTTTGTCTCCCAGTGGCGATGGCCATACCCAACAGAGGTCAAGAGTGAACTGGTCAGGTGTCGGTCACGATCCAGCCCTCACCGATTCACTCCAGTGGCTCGCTGGGTTAGTCTCCACCTATCGATAACGTGTTTACACACCGCACCAGGTACTCATTTGAGGCCGAGGCATCGTAATCGGAGGCCCAAGAGCTTTTCAGATAATCGTCACCGGTGTTGGCCGTGAGCGGGAATTGAACTCGGGTCTCCGGGTTCGTAGCGCAGCGTGCTAGCCACTGCACTACCGCTTCCCACAACAATGATCCCCCATATAGCCTAAACAGACTGTAGGGGCAAGTGCTGTTAGCGAGCACCTATGAAGGCCGCAATGGTACACGAGGGGGTGGGTGGCCAGCACCACGCCCGACCGCCTTTGTCTCCCTAGTGGCGATGTTTACACACCGCACCAGGTACTCATTTGAGGCTGAGTCGACCTAGGGGAGGCCCAGGACCGGTTCAGATATCGTCACTGGTGTTGGCCGTGAGCGGGAATCGAACTCGGGTCGCCGGGTTCATAGCGTAGCACAGCGCGCTAGCCGCTACACTACCGCTCCCCACAACAGACACACACACTCACTCATACACAAAAACACGTTACACACACACACACACATTACACATATCACCGGCGCTCCCCCCGCGAGCCCACACTCGCCTGAGTGGGGTACAGCAGCGCCTCGGTGGGCAGGCTAGGCGGGGCAGGCTCCCCGGGCCGCCGGGCTTGGCCGCCGGCGGCCGTCGCCACGTCGCCGTTGGCCTGCACCGCGGGCGACGCGCAGCCGCCCAGCAGCTCACGCACGGCCGGGGGGTTGAGGTCGGCGTGGAAGTCGGCCGAGATCTTCCTCGCCGTGCGAAGGTCGTACAGGGCCAGCGTGATGAAGAACGGCTCCACCTGAGGGGTGGAAGCGAGATGTTAACTACCTCGCTCCGTACGCAGGAGGGCGTGGGTTCGATCCCGACCCTGACGCCTGCTGTATGTTTGGAGATGGGGTGTTTTCTTTCTCTATCTCTGCCCGTGGGCGTGCGGATTTTTCTCCGGATCCTCCGGTTTTGCCCTCCACATTTAGAATCGACGTACATTTCCACGTGATAAGCCACTTCGTTGAGCTATCATTTGTGGCCAGGTCGCTTCTGAAAAAGAGCTACATAGCTCAGTGGGTCTTACCTGGTAAAATAACATTATTTCTATTCGTTTTAGTTTTACCTCATCCTGTACTCAACTAGCCAATGAGTGACCAACGAAGAAGTTAGAAAAAGTTTTGACTTAAAACGTTCGTGACTGCAGGAATTCATATTCTTTGGTTCTTCCGGTAAAGTCACGTAGAATAAAAATATTACAATAAAATTAAAATAACCACGACGTTTCGGTCGCACATAGAAGACAACCTGATGATGCAAGCGGTGATGAGAAGGAAACTGGCACTATTTGTAGGGTGGACAACAACAGAAAAAATAAAAGTGTGTTTGTTGTTGTTGTTGTTCGGACAAAATGTAAGGAACCGGAAAGAGAGGAAGACCTAACGGAGAATGGCTTGACGACGACATGACAGGTTGGTGCCAGAAAGATGTGGCCACTACTTCAGCCATATTGATGCAAAGGCCGAGGAAAGTGGAAGCAAATGACGAAATGCACAGTGGACACCTACGGGGCACTATCTGCCCATGCATCATGAACGACAAGTCATAACAGCGGTGGCCTGCAAGTGGACATAAGCCTGCCAGTAGGCGGGGGGGCAATGCTGTCATTTTTTTTCCTTCCCAAATACATAATTCAGGAGTTATTTTTTTTTTTACTAAATTCGGCAAATGTTGACGATGAAGCCGGCGCATGCAGTATCCCGCTGTGCTGGTTATCGCCCTCCGCAGCGTGTAAAGCCGTAGGGGGGGCGGCCCGCGGGGTTAGAAACGCAACTCTCCCCGTCGCTGGGTCCCTCTCACGGTGATCTTGCCAATGGCGCAATTTTTTATTTTCATTTAAAAAAAATTTACATATACAACTTTCTTTTTGATGTGTTTTTTGTTGTTGTTGTTGTTGTTTTTTGTTATGTGGGGTGATCCGTACGTTGCTCTTGACGCCTCCGCTGTCGGAGAAGCAGGCCTGCACGGCGAGGTTGAAGCCCAGGCAGGAGACGAGGAGCCGCGTCGCTCTCTTCTCCCGCGGCGGCCTCGCTTCCCCGCTCCGCCTCGCCCACCATGGGGCTCATCCTCTGCGGGCAGGATGGAGGGGTGGGGGGGGGTGGGGGGGGGTAGGGGGGGTGGGGGGGGGGCGGGGGGGGGGGGCGGGGGGGGGCAGCGCCGGTGAGCGAGGTCACAGGGAGGCACTAAAGAGCAGCGCAAGCCAACAAGCAACCCCGCTCGGCACAGAAGCTCAACGACTGAACCGTTAAATTTCGATTTAAAGCTTTTGTGACTGCAGGGATTCATCTTCTTGGTTCTTTCGGTAAAGTCAGGTAGAATGGAGATAATAAAAAAATAAAAATAAAACATTATAAAATAAGTGGCTTATTTTATTATGTTTTATTTTTATTATTTTATTATTTCCATTCTACGTTACTTTACCGAAAGAACCAAGAAGACTGAACCGTTTTTATTTTTTACCGGTAATGTTCAACGTGTTTCGCACCGGAGGTGTAGAGGAATGGACAACAAACTGACACCCAAATAGCGGTTCTGAAGGAATTCGTTTTCAATTTAGATCATTTAAAAGTGCATAGTTCCAGTGGCTTCCTAATATCGGAAGGAAGAGCGTTCCGACGGCCGCGGAAGCGCGTCTGAAAAGCGCGCGATGCAGTTGCCGTCTTTCGTGCGATGGCTAGCCAGAAGCCGCTGCTGTGAGGATGACCGGATTTAGCGTGATGGTGAGTGCTCCTTGACGAGGTCAGCAAGCGTATTGTGGTTCATTTGTGGCAAGCACTTTGTGTGTAATGAATGCGACCTTGTAAATAAAAAATTAACCCGTAAAAACAAAGTTTTTCACTATAAATCCTTTATATGCGTGGCGGCTAGAATCCTCTCGTCCTCTGGCTTGAGATGGCTGCTACCTATGGGTCAGATGATTGCCTGCCACCATTAAGCAATTGGTAATTAAATATAAAAAAATCCTAAAAAGTGTAAAGTTATGGAAAAAAAATTTCACAAAATAAATTGTCACGCACAACGAGTCTGTGTGCAAAATGTCAGCTCGATTGGATCACGGGAAGTGGGTTAAAAAACGACCGAAAGATTTGCACGGTCGTAAGCGCGCAAGCAAGCAAGCAAGTGAACTTAATATAAAGGATTTTAAAAGGTAAAGACGACTGAGCTGTATAGCTCGTATTCAGATGCGACTTGGCCACAAATAATAGCTCAACAAAGTGGCTTGCATCGTGGGGAAGTGTATCGCGGTCAAGATAATCGAAGCCCATATATCTCCAAACGTGGAGGGGAAAAACCAGAGGGACCCGGAGAAAAATCCACACAACCACGGGGAAAGAGAGAGAACACCAATATAACAGCAGCGGTCAGGGTCGGGCTCGAACCCACGACCTCCTGCACGGCAGGAGAGGTAGTCAACATCCCGCCAAATTCCTCAGAGCACGGTAGGCCTCGGCAAGGTAAGGTAAAAGTGTAAAAACAACGAGCCTACCTTTACCCTACCTTTTACCTTACCACAATACAATCACTCTACCCTACCTTTTACCCTTTAGCAGGTAAGGTAAAAGGTAAAAAGCAACGAGCCTACCTTTTACCCTACCCTTTACCCTTACCCCTTGGCATGTCGACACCTTTACCTTTACCCTTTTACCCGGTAAAAAGGGTACAATTACCTTACCTTGCCGAGGCCTAGAGCATGGCAATACCCGTAAACAGCTGAACAAAAACGTCACCGACACGAACCCGGCGAGCGATCGCGCGCACGGAGTGAAACGATCGTTGGGACTACCTGCATCTCGGGGGTGAGCACGAACACGTTCAGCCGGCCCTCCTTCCTGCTCACCCTCGTCGTCTCCTCGTGCGTCTTGGCATCCTGCGCGCAGGAGACATCGCACCCCCGACGTGATCCCCCCATTCCGCCGGCCTACTCGGCATCTCGCCGCGCAGAAACCGCCCCGGTCTAGGCGGAGCTCTCGGGAGGTGCACCACTTTGCCGCCGGGGGAGAATGGCCCTGGCAGACGACCGGAGCGGCAGCGGGCCTAACTTAACGGTTAGTGGCAACCGGGAATGACCGGTGGAGAGCCGAGTCTGGTGCGTGTTAAACATCGACAAGCGGCCGGTGATAGAATAAGAATGGTCACCGTAGCAGCTCTATACCGTGACCGGCAGTGAGACTCACCCTGAGACTCACCCTGACACTCACCCTGAGACTCAGCGTGAGTTTCGTCTGTAAGCGAGACTCACCCTGACACTCACCCTGAGACTCACCCTGACACTCACCCTGACACTCACCCTGAGACTCACCCCGAGACTCACGCCGAGACTCAGCGTGAGTCTGGTCAGTACGCGAGACTCACCGTGACGAGCTGCAGCTGAATATCGGAGCTCTCGCACGACTCCGCTGCATCAGGGCAATCGCTGTCATCTGCACAAGAGCACACGGTGGACAAATCGCTAAGACATCACCACCACCACCACCATCCCCTCTACCACGCTCATCAACACCACCATAAATACAGCCATTAACAAAACAACCAGTATTATCACTACAACCAGCATCACCAACGCCATCATAACCACCACTATTAGGACTATCACCACCACTCTCATCATTGAGACCACCAGACAAAAGGCGAATATCCCCCGTGTAGCCGTACAGACTGTTGGAGCGAGTGCTGCTAGCGGGCGCCTATTAAGGCCTACATGGCACACGAGGGGGCGGTATCGTCAGTACCACGCCAGATCATGTTTAATTAGGACAACCACCACTATCGACAATACAATGACCACAACACACAATGATTCATGCACTCCCACTTTGCTTGTGTACACTGATGTAGCGTTCTATGGTCGTGTTTCTGAGCATCTTGCAACATCCTTTCAGCAATATCCCTGAACTCGTTAAACCCACTTTGCTTTGACATCCCATCCGTACGGCATGGAGCCTTCATGCAAACAGATGTACGAATCACAACCGGTCTCTGATGGGGTCTCTAAACAATAGACTGACAAAGCGGTCTCTGATGGGGTCTCTAGACAATAGACAAAGAGAGTGGTCTCTGATGGGGTCTCTGATGGGGTCTCTAGACAACAGACTGACAGACCGGTCTCTGATGGAGTCTCTAAACAACAGACAGACAGTCCCAGACACTGATGAGGTCTCTAAACAATAGACAGAGTGGTCTCTGATGAGGTCTCTGATAGGATCTCTAAACAATAGACAGACAGTCCCAGACACTGATGGGGTTTCTAGACAACAGACAGACAGTCCTAGTCTCCGTTGGGCTCTCTAGACATTAGGCAGTCCCCGACACCGATGAGGCCCTCCGGACAACAGACGGACAGAGCGTCTCTCTGCCGGCAAAGAACAAGAGAGACTCGGGACGTCCACGCACCTCGACTCCTTCTGTCCGCCTCCTGGGCCTTGTTGTCCTGCATGGCCGCCTCGAACTGGCCCTGCAGCACCTTGTGGAGCAGGGCCCTCCACTCGTCCACCTCGGCATCGCTCTCCGCCGCCAGCACCACGCTGCTGCGGTCCATCATCTTGAGCTCGAACGCGTGCCGCCGCAGCCTCGCGTTCTGCCGACAACCGCGGCGGCAAAGCGACGGCGTCAGGCGGGGACGCGCCGGGGGTGGGGGGGGGTGGTGGGTGGGGGGGAGCAGAAGGTTAAGGTTCTAGCGGCGGACGCCGTGGGCCGCGATGACGACGGCAGCGGGGCGTTCAGGACGCGCGCTGGCGGAGGCTTGGTTCACGTTTGCCGCAGTGGCTAGGAGATGTTAGTAGCCTCGGCTGGTACGCAGGAGGTCGTGGGTTCGAAGCCGACCCTAAGGCCTGCTGTTTAATTGGGGTTTGCGTCTCTCGCTCATCATCATCACGGTGGCAAGGAGATGTTAGCGACCTTGCCTGCGATGCAGGAGGTCGTGGGTTCGAACCCGACCCTGACGCCCGTTGTTCTTTCTGTCCCTCCTCGTGGCCGCGTGGATTTTTCTCCTCCGGGTCCTCCAGTTTTTCCCCTCCAGATTTAGAATCGACGTCACGTTTGTCAGAGTATTTGGCTGCGAGAAATTTCCAAGCGAGAAGCCACTTCGTTGAGCGATCATTTGTGACCAGGTCACTTCTCAAACAGGGCTGTACAGCTCAGTGGACCTTACCTGGTCAAATAATAATACATTTATCTTCTTGGTTCTTTCAGTAAAGTCACGTAAAAGGGAAATAATTTTGTTGTGTTTTTCACACCTGATGATGATTGCTTGTGTTGCAGTCGAAACGTCGTGAGAATTCTATTGTTTTATATTTGTATTATTTGATTATTTCCCTTCTACGTGACTTTACCGAAATAACCAAGAAGATGAATCCCTGCAGTCACGAAAGCTTTAAACCAAAATAGTAATAATTAATTGTTTAGTTTCAGTTTTTTGCCGAATTTAGTCAAAAAAATCCTCGCAAACTAAGCAAACTAAGCAATTAGGAAAGGCAAAAACAAATGGAAGCATCGCCCCCCACTAGTGGCAGGCTTACGCCCCCTTGCAGGCCGCCGCTGCGTACTACTTGCCGCTCACGGAGACAGCTGACAGTGGGGGTCACCTAGGTCCACGCAGCGCCGTGTGTAACACACTCGCCAACCTTCAAGCCCGTCGTCCTGCCTGCAGCCGGACCCTGCCCCCCCCCACCGCCCCGCGCCCACCGGGGTCCTACCGGCACGACGCCCAGGCACGCGTCCAGGAAGATGGAGCCCTTGGCCTCGGCCAGGTTCTTGTCGTCCTTGTAGAAGTTGAGCGCGTACGACCCGTCCGGCTGCTGGCTCAGGTGGAAGAACCTCCGCTTGAACGTCTGCGTGGGGACAAAAACGGACGGTGGGGACAAAAGAGCAGCCCTGCAATTGCCTGCTCGTGCCACTTGCTGATAGCAGTGCTACCAATGGAGAGCAGTGCTACCAGCTGATAGCAATAGTACCAGCTGATACTACTAGCTGATAGCAATGCGATCAGCTGATAGCAATAGTACCAACTGATACTACTAGCTGAGAGCAATGCGATCAGCTGATCGCAGCGCAGCCGGTGGATAGCAATGCTACCTGCTGTGCGGTGAGGATTCCAATCTGGGCACAGGCCCCCGAGCGCATCGCTCACCTTCATGGTCACGCTGCTCGTGCTCGTGAAGTTGCCTTTGTAGAGCCAGCCCTGCTTGGTGACGCCACTTCTCAGCGAGGCCATGGACACGGAATCCTGGGCGACACGCGCAGAGGTCACGCACAGACACGGAAGCCTGGGCGACACGCGCAGAGGTCACGCACAGACACGGAATCCTGGGCGACACGCGCAGAGGTCACGCATGGATACGGAATCCTGGGCGACACGCACAGAGGTCACGCACAGACACGGAATCCTGGGCGACACGCACAGAGGTCACGCACGGACACGGAACGGTGGACTACGCGCGCAGAGGTCACGCACAGACACGGAAGCCTGGGCGACACGCACAGAGGTCACGCACGCACACGGAACGGTGGACGACACGCACAGAGGTCACGCACAGACACGGAATCCTGGGTGACACGCACAGAGGTCACGCACGGATACGGAACGGTGGACGACACGCACAGAAGTCACACATGGACACGGAACGGTGGACGACACGCACAGAGGTCACGCACGGACAGGGAAGCCTGGGCGACACGCGCAGAGGTCACACACAGACACGGAACGGTGGACGACACGCACAGAGGTCATGCACGCACAGGGAATTTCTACCAATGATGTGGTTCGCATCGTGTCATGCGATGAGGAATTTGGAAATCTCACGAAGCTGTGTGGGGGCCATTCTGTCAAAGAACAGCCGCGACGTGGAATGAAAAACAAAAATCGTTCAAAAAGTGGCATTTTTATCCTTTACACAGCAGTGGGCGTACTTTCCCACCAACATTGAAATCCCGGTCAAAACAATTGATGCTAATTTTAATTCTCAAGAGCTGAAATTCAGCCGAAATGAAGTGCAAAACCAAATTTAAATTGATGGGTTTTTTTCCGTGCAGCCATTGGCGATTGGGCAGAGACCACCAACTGACTTTACCTGTGAAGCCGGTTTCACCACAACTCTATCAACGTGAGTCCATGGGCGCCTGTGTATGGACCAGTGATGTGTATGCAAGCCTAAAACTAAAAAAAATATTTTTTATTTTATTTTACCAGGTACGGCCCACTGAGCTACTGTATATATCTCTTTATTATCAGAAGCTTCCTAGCCATCACATGATAGCTTAACGAAGTGGCTTATCATCACGTAGAAGTTTATAGCAGCCAGATGCTCTAAACGCCTGGTTTTAGGAGGTCACGGGTTTAATCCCGACCATGATGCCTGTATATTTGTAGTTTGCGTGTCCCTCTCCCCGTGGCCACGTGGATTTTTCTCTGGGTCCTCCGCTTTTTCCCCTCCACATTTAGAATCTACGTGCACTTAGAGTATTTGGCTGCTATAAATTTCCAAACGATGATAAGCCAAATGTTGAGCAATCATTTGTGATGGTCACGTGGCTTCTGAAGAAGAGCTATACAGCACCTCAGTGGGCCTTACCTGGTAAAATAAACAAGTCTAGTTTTGTTTTTATAGTTTTAGAAGTTGTGTTGTTTTCCCAGCCACTCTCTGCACGCCGATTCCACGTCTCGCATCACGCCGCTGCTGTGTGTACACGGCCGCTGTGACCTAGGTGACCCCCAGTGGCAGCTGTCCCCCATGATGGATAAGTAATGCGCGGCAGTGGCCTGCAATTGGGCATGCATAAGCCTGCCAGTAGGGAAGGGCTGTGGCGATACTGCCATTTGTTTTTTTTTATTGCCCATCCCAATTATGTAATGTGTGAGCAAGAATGAATTTGGTTAAACAAAGAGAGCCAACTTTTATTTATTTATTTTTAAACGGGAGAAGAAAACTAAATCGGTTGCGAAAAAAGAAATGCGGAGGATTCAATTGGGCAAAGTGGCCATCGCTCCGCCAAGGGCATCTCACCTCGTCGTTCTCTGTGACCTCATCGATCTCGAACTGGTGACTCACGAGCCGGTCCGTCTGCAGGTCCTTTCTGTTTACAGAACAACCGTATGATCGTCGCGGCGTTGAAACCAAAACTGCGAGACGCTATCGCGAAATCTAAACAACACGACACCCGGCGTTGAAACTGAAACGTGACATACTATCATGAAATCTAAACGCCGCGAGGCTTGGCGTTAAAACAAAAACGCGAGACCCATCGAGAAGTCTGAACGCGAGACCCGGCCTTAAAACATGAGACCCATCGAGAAATTTGAACACGAGACCCGGCCTTAAAACCAAAACACGAGACCCATCGAGAAATCTGAACGCGAGACCCGGCCTTAAAACAAAAACGCGAGACCCATCGAGAAATCTGAACGCGAGACCCGGCCTTAAAACATGAGACCCATCGAGAAATTTGAACACGAGACCCGGCCTTAAAACCAAAACATGAGATCCATCGAGAAATCTGAACGCGAGACCCGGCCTTAAAACCAAAACAGGAGACCCATCGAGAAATCTGAACGTGAGACCCGGCCTTAAAACCAAAACAGGAGACGCAACGAGAAATTTGAAACCGAGACCCGGCCTTAAAACGAAAACGCAAAACCCGATGTAAAATGTTACGCGAGCCCCCATCACGAAATCTCAAACGCGAGATCCGCCATTGAAATCAAAGCCCTGAGTAACGAGGGTGTCTCCACGACGCGACGCCGTGAGGAGTGGAGGGAGGAGCCTGCGGCCTACCTGGGCAGACGATGCACGTCCCCCGAGTAGGGCTCGTACTTGTACTTGATGACGTGCCAGTCCGAGTTGTAGGTCTTGATGCACTGCGAAAGCGGATGGAGGCCAGATTGTGACAGGCGGAAAGAGAGAGAAAGAGAGAAAGACAGCGACCGTTTGGGAGCACAGGCAGCCACCGTGCGCCACGGTGATGAGCTGTTAACTCCCTCGCCTGGTACACAGGAGGTCGTGGGTTCGATCCCGACCCTGACGCCTGCTGCTGTATAGTTGGAGTCTGCGTCTCTCTCTCCTCGTCATCACGGTGGCTAGGAGATGTTAACTACCTCGCCATGTATGCAGGAGGTCGTGGGTTCGATCCCGACCCTGACGCCTGCTGCTGTATATTTGGAGTTTGCGTGTCTCTCTCCCCGTGGTGGCATGGATTTTTCTCCGGGTCTTCCAGTGTTTCCCTCCACATTTATAATCAACGTGAGCTCAGAGTATTTGGCTGCTATAATTCCACACGACAATGAGCCACTTTGTTGAGAATATCATTTGTGATAGCCAAGTCGCTTCTAAGCCCCATTAAATAGTTATGTCTTACATGTTCTACTGAACTGGTTAAATGTCTACAAAGAGTCTGGTACACCATGCAGCGGCCGATGGACCACCGACCGCGAAGCACTGCTATCAAATGGTAGAATCAGCGTTTAGTGTCAGCTGGTAGCATCAGCTAGTAGCACTGCCATCAGCTGGTAATATCAGCTGGTAGCAGCAGCTGGTACCATCAGTTAGTAGCACTGCCACCACCTGGTAGTATCAACTGGAAGTATCAGCCGGTAGCACTGCCATCAGCTGGTAGTATCATCTGGTAGCATCAGCCGGTAGCATCAGCCGGTAGCACTGCTGACGATGCCGACGTTGGCGTCTCCGCCGCCGCCGCCGCGGCGCTTGTGGCCTCACCTCGCGCACGAGGAGGCTGGTGGCGTCGGCGCCGTCCAGCTCCGGGACGGCGGAGCGCAGCGTCCTCCGCTCCCGGGGCTCCGTCGCGGGCTGCGTGGCGACAAGGGGTGGTGGTGGGGGGGTGGTGGGGGTGGTGGGGTGGGTGGTGGTGGGGTGGGTGTTGGGGTGGGTGGTGTGGGGGTGGTTGGGTGGGTGGTGGGGAGGTGGTGGTGGGGGGGTGGTGGGGGGGTGGTGGGGGGGTGGTGGGGGGTGGTGGGGGGGGTCGTGGGGTGGGTGGTGGTGGGGGGGTGGGGGAACGGGGACTCACAGTCAGCGAGCTCCTCTTAACCCTTCCCCCCCCCGCTCCGATGAGACACGTGAAACGTCATCAAGATTTTCTTCCGACGCCGTTCCGATAACGTACACGTCCTAAAATAAAGTAAAGTCATTTCTCACATTAACATCACTCCGTTTATGACCCTTGGGCTACACCCATTTTAAACCTTTAAAACAGCCTGCCTCAGCAGCTTTCCCCCTCTGTTTTCCTCCTGATGACGACCGCTTGTGTTGCGATCGAAACGTCGTAGTTTCCTGCTATTTCCTTTGAACCTATCTACGTGACTTTACCGAAAGACCCAAAGAACGTAAAGTAACTTCATCGGTTCGTCTTGAGGTCGGTGCGACGTACCGAGCCTCCCCACGAGGCCACGTGAGAGTGCGTGCGGCACGGTTTGGCGCCAGCTAGCGTAAAGTGCGGCGGTCGTGTCGCTGCGGTTCTCTGCGACGAGTAACAACGTCTTCAAGAACGACGGCGCTACGACGCCTCTCTGCATGACAGGCGGTCGAGCCGGTACGCACGAAGCTCCGCCTGTAAGGGGCGACCCTCCCGGTCGGTCACCATCGCCGGTCGGTCGCGAGGTGAGTTGCGAAGCGATTCCCTCTCACCGGCTTCGCTGGCCTCGATGTGTTGGGCGAATCTGGTGTCATTGCTGCTGATGATGATGCTCGTTTAGATGTCAATTGTGTTGTCAATGAATCTGACGTGGTGATGCTGATGCTGCTGGTGCTGCCGATGCTGATGATGAGATGCTAATAATGCTGATGACATTGCTGCTGATGCTGATGATGATGATACTGATGATGCTGATAATGAGATGCTGATGCTGCCGATACTGATTATGCTGCTGATAATACTGCTGCTGCTGATAATGGTGATGGTGATTCTGGTGATGATGCTGATGATGATGCTGCTGCTGATGATGCTAATAATGCTGATGACATTGCTGCTGCTGATGATGATGATGCTGCTGATGCAGCTATATGTGTGTGTGGGGCAGGCTATGGGGGAACGGTGGCAAAGCGGTTAGAGCACTATGCAACGAACCCTGCGACCTGAGTTCGAGTCTCGCTCACGGCCAAGACCAGTGACGATCGTGTGAACCGGTCTTGGGCCTCCTCTATGTCGACCCAGCCTCAAATGAATACTTGGTGCGGTGTGTAACCATCGCCACCCTGGGAAACAAAAGTCGCCCGGGCGTGGTGCTGGCCACCCACTCCTTCGTGTGCCGTGCCGGCCGTCATAGGTGTTGCTACTCGCTAACAGCACTTGCCCCAACAGTCTGCGAAGGCTACACGGGGGATCTTTACCTTTGGGGCAGGCTTACCGTGACGTCGTCCTCCGGGAAGAGCACGAGATGCCGTAGCTCCTCTCCCTCGGCGGAGTCGCCCAGAGCGCCCACCACCCTCTCCACCACGCCCTCATAGTCCACCAGCTCCACCTGCTGGGCCTGGGGAACAAAGTGGACACCATCATCGTCTACGTCAGCATCACCATCAACACCGCCAACAACACCGCCACCATCATCGTCACCATCAACACAACCATCAACACCGCCACCATCATTGTCACCATCAACACCACCAACAACATCGCTACCATCATCATCACCATCAACACCACCCCAACAACACCGCCACCATCAACACCACCAACAACACCGCCACCATCATCGTCACCAACAACACCGCCACCATCATCGTCACCATCAACACCACCAACAACACCGCCACCATCAACACCACCAACAACACCGCCACCATCATCGTCACCAACAACACCGCCACCATCATCGTCACCATCAACACCACCAACAACACCGCCACCATCATCGTCACCAACAACACCGCCACCATCATCGCCACCATCAACACCACCAACAACACCGCCACCATCATCGTCACCAACAACACCGCCACCATCAGCGTCACCATCAACAGCATCACCATCAACACCACCACCATCAGCGTCACCATCAACACCACCAACAACACCGCTACCATCATTGTCACCATCAACACCACCATCACCATAAACACCATCACCATCAACACCATCAGCGTCACCATCAACACCGCCACCATCAGCGTCACCATCAACACCACCCCAACAACACCGCCACCATCAACACCACCAACAACACCGCTACCATCATCGTCACCATCAACACCGCCACCATCAGCGTCACCATCAACACCGCCAATAACACCGCCACCATCATCGTCACCATCAACAACACCATCCCCATCAACACCATCATCATCACCATCAACACCACCATCACCATAAACAGCATCACCATCAACACCATCAGCGTCACCATCAACACTGCCAACAACACCGCTAGCATCATCGTCACCATCAACACCACCATCCCCATAAACACCATCATCGTCATCATCAACACTACCATCACCATAAACAGCATCACCATCAACACCATCAGCGTCACCATCAACACCGCCAACAACACCGCTAGCATCATCGTCACCATCAACACCACCATCCCCATAAACACCATCATCGTCATCATCAACACTACCATCACCATAAACAGCATCACCATCAACACCATCAGCGTCACCATCAGCGTCACCATCAGCGTCACCATCACCATCAACACCACCATCACCATAAAAACCATCAGCGTCACCATCAACACCACCAACAACAACACGGACACCGCCAGCGTCACCATCAACACCACCATCACCATAAACACCATCAGCGTCACCATCAACACCACCAACAACAACATGGACACCGCCAGCATCACCATCAACACCACCATCACCATAAACACCATCACCATAAACACCATCAACACCACCATCACCATAAACACCATCACCATCAACACCACCATCACCATCAACACCATCACCATCAACACCATCAGCGTCACCATCAACACCACCAACAACAACACGGACACCGCCAGCGTCACCATCAACGTCACCATCAACACCACCATCAACATAAACACCATCACCATCAACACCACCATCACCATAAACACCATCAGCGTCACCATCAACACCACCATCAACATAAACACCATCACCATCAACACCACCATCACCATAAACCCATCAGCATCACCATCAACACCACCAACAACAACACGGACACCGCCAGCGTCACCGTCAACACGAACAACATCAACAGCATCATCATCATCATCGATGGGAGGCCCCAGAGGATCAGCTGGTGGCAGCCGATCCCACATAAGGGCACCGCGGTCCATGCGCCTGCACAAAGATTCCCCCGTGTGGCCTCAACAGAATGTTGGGGCAAGCGCTGGGCCAGCACCACGCCTGGCCGCCTTTGTCTCCCCAGTGGCGATGTTTTCACATCGCACCAGGTACTACTTTGAAGCTGAATCGACCTAGGGGAGGCCCAGGACCGGTTCAAATGATCGTCACCGGCGTTGGTGGCCGTAAACGGGAATCGAACTGGGCTCGCCGGGGTTCGTAGCGCTGACCGCCACGCTACTACTGCTACTCGGGCTCTCCTGTGAAGGCCGCAACGACACACGAGGGGGGGTGGGTGGCCAGCACCACGCCCGGCCGCATTTGTCTCCCCAGTGGCGATGTTTTCACACCGCATCACGTACTTATTTGAGGCCGAGTCGACCTAGGGGGAGGCCGGGGATTCGTGGCACGGCGCAGCGCACGCGTGGCGAGCACGCACATTCACCGGACAGTCACCATGCCACTGGCACGGTGGTCACCGATGACGCCACGAAATTTCCAGCTGCGGTTTGCCTCCCACACTCGGAACACGCGTGTTCGCGTGTCCGCAGGGACGCGCACACGCGCTAGTTTCCCAGACTTTTTGGGCAAGTGCTGTTAGCGAGTAAGGCACCGATGAAGGCCGGGTGGGTTTGACAGCAACCACGGCCGCCCGTCCGCCTTTGTCTCCCCAGCGGCGATGTTTCACACACCGCAGCATGTACTCACTAGGGTGGCCGTGAGCGGGAATCGAACTCGGGTGGCCGTAGTTCGTAGCGCAGGGTGCTGACCACTGCTTAGAGGTCGCAACCGGGTACCCGCTACCCGTACCCTACCCAATACCCGGCCGGGTACGGGTAGCCGGGCACCCGTTTGCGACCCTGGTGCAGCCGGGTACGGGTACGGGTAGGGGTAGGCCGTGAGTCACTGGTGAGTAACCGTTTGTCACTCATTTCCCAACGTCTTGTCTCTTCTCACAATTCAAGTTCCTAGAATCAACCCACCCGCGCCTGCAACATGGCTTCATCCCAGAGGTCGCAATCAGGTACCCGATACCCGTACCCGGCCGGCCGGGTACGGGTAGGGTATCGGGTACGGCCGGGTACGGGTACGGGTAAGGAATCAAAACCCGTTTGCGACCTCTGCCACTGTGCCACTAAAGCTTCCGGGAAAGCATTTGTGTAAACTTTACATAAGTATTCAATATTTGAATCTCAAATGCAGGATGCGAGTGTGCGCGTGTGTGTGTCGTGGACGTCGAAGAGAGCTGGACGAATCGCGACATCACAGCAGCAACGTTTTCCAGGCAGCATCACTGCTCGTGGAATATACATGGCAAAGGATGAAAAATAAATAGTCGGTTTTAACCCTTTCTGCCCGCCGCACCTTTCTTCATTATTGACAACTTGCAGCTCAGCACACGGCAGATGCCTGCGCAGCGCGACTCACGACCTCCTCTCGATACCAAGATCCAGGATGGTCATCGTGTCTGTGCGCCGCTTCTCGGTGGCAGCCCCAACAGTCTGGAACGCCGTCACCCCTCTGCACATTCGCAGCATCACCTCAATCGCCTCCTTCAAGAGACACTTAAAAACTCACCTCTACAAGCCACGTGCTTTCGAGCGATTCTGAGCTTGGCTCCGCGCCTCTGAGTTGCGGCCGTTACGTCCGCAAATTTGCGCGCGTTATAAATTGCATTATTATTATTAAGGTGTTCAAACAGCAAACGGATACCTTTTGCAAGGAATCAGAAAATGGCAAAGACATCGAACGCCTTGAGGTCACACTCACGTGCCGAGTCTGACCTTCAATTGAACGTTCAGGATTTTTCCGACCAATCCAATTTCACATTCACGCTGTGGCCGAACTCACACAAACACAACCTTTGTTTTTCGATATAAAGCTTTCATGACTGGAGACGAAGTGCCACCCGCTTGGGGTGAAAGCCGAGAGGGGGGAAGAAATGAGGAGCCACGCGCATTTGTCAATACCGCCGTGTGTGTGTGTGTGTGTCCTTAAACATACTTGCTTATAAAACAGGCGACGTTTCGAGCAATTGACCCCCTGTCTTCCTAGCACATAGATAGGTTAGAGAGGTAGAGTGGATCGAGAGTTGGAAGCGACACTTTTTGCCACGGGGTAGGTGGGAGAGTGTATGAATGTAAAAACTTATTTCGCTCCGTACGTAGCCAACCGTGCTTATCGGGGGTGCGGGGGAAGGACAACAAACTAAGAGGCCGTCCATAAATGACGTCACGCGATTTTGGACGATTTTTGACCCACCCCCCCCCCCCCCTAGGTGCGTGACGTCATTTATGGACGGCCCCGAAACACAAAAAGCAGTTCTAAAGAAATGAGTTTTCAGTCGAGATGACTCAAGCGTGCATAGCTCCCAGTGCCTTCCTAACATGGGAAGAGCGTTCCAGACGGCCCGCAGAAGCGCATCGGAAAGCGCCACGCGATGCGGTGAGCGTTTTGGTTTGAGGGCCGGACAAAAGGCCGCTGCTGCTGCTGCTGCTGCTGTGAGGGTGACCAGAGTTCGCGTGACGATGGTTTATGTTTCCTGATGAAATCAGCAAGGTGTTTGTGGTTCGTTTGTGGCGAGCGCTTTGCGTGTGTGTGTGTGATGAGTGGGCGGGTGGGTGAGTGTGTGATGAGTGGGTGAGTGTGTAATGTGTGTGTGTGATGAGTGAGTGTGTGTAATGAGTGAGTGAGTGTGTGATGAGTGGGCGGGTGTGTGTGTGTGTAATGAGTGAGTGTGTGTGTGATGAGTGAGTGGGTGAGTGAGTGTGGAATGAGTGGGTGAGTGTGTGATGAGTGAGTGAGTGTGTGATGAGTGGGTGGGTGAGTGAGTGTGTGATGAGTGAGTGGGTGAGTGAGTGTGTAATGAGTGAGTGTGTGAGTGTGTGATGGGTGAGTGAGTGAGTGTGTGATGAGTGGGTGAGTGAGTGAGTGTGTAATGAGTGAGTGGGTGAATGAGTGTGTAATGAGTGAGTGAGTGAGTGTGTGATGAGTGGGTGGGTGAGTGTGTGATGGGTGAGTGAGTGTGCAATGAGTGGATGAGTGAGTGTGTGATGAGTGAGTGAGTGTGTGATGAGTGGGTGGGTGGGTAAGTGTCTAATGAGTGAGTGGGTGAGTGAGTGAGTGTGTAATGAGTGGGTGAGTGTGTGATGAGTGGGCGGGTGTGTGTGTGTGTAATGAGTGAGTGTGTGTGTGA